GGTTTTCACAGGTGTTCATGAAATGACCAATTTTTCCGCATAAATAGCAGAAATCATTGAGCCTTTCATATTTGAAGCCAACCCACACCGATGTCTCTCCCAGTGGATACTCAAAATCAATTGGAATTGGTTCGTTCAGATCAAGTTCCACCAGGACCCTCACGAATCTTTTCCAGCCTCTAGTTTCCAGTCCTGACCTATTCACCTTGTGGAATTGGGGGGAGACGAAAGCCCCAATAGCTTGTATAACTGATTGTGCTTGGAGGGGCTGAGGAAGGTTGTGCATCTGAACCCATAGAGATATGGATCGGATCTCCACTTCCTGCGGTTTGACAATACCATCCTATTTCTTGAGCGCAATGAGAGTGTTGGCCAAGCTCCATGGCCTCGCTTCTTAGACAACATCTCTTTCTTTCTCAGATTGGAAGGAATAGACATACAGATTCTTCCCTCCCATGTTGGACTTGATCTCCCCATAGTTCTTCCATTTGTTCTGGGCAGCACTCTTTGCTTTGACTGGGTAGATAGGTGTTGCTGTGAGCCATTTTCCCAGTATCATCGTCATCCCTCTGCCACTGACCACTTGAGGATGAATGTTGAGGACGAGATGGCCTGGCAGCTCTTGCTCAATCACCTGATTGGGTTCCATGGTAGCTTTGTTATGTTCAGGTAAAATAATCGCCTTTGACCTTGGGTTTTTGGTTCGGTTTTGCTTTTTTAGGATAGAGTATGAGGTGGTTTCTAGGTAAAAGATGAGTGTAATTAGCATCAACCTTTGGTTGCTCTTTATAACCGCTGGATTAGAGGCTGGGTTGATAGCAGTAGGCATCTTATCAGTCTTAATTCTTAGCATTTCCTCCTTCTGAATCATGATTATGCGCGCTTCCAGCTGTTTACAGGCTAGTCCCCTTTGCTTTCCTTACTCCCCCTGGGTTTTCTAGCTGCAAACAATCCCCTCATCTTGAATACCAGGTGCTTTGAATGCTCCTCTGTTACCCTTGTATGCTTGATGATCTCATTTTGGCGGCCGCTAATGTCTTTGTTAGATATGTTATACCTCATTAATATGGCCTTCCTACCCATTGTGATCTCCTTTTGTGTGTTGCAGATATCTTCAGTTGGGACATTGACCGTCCATAAATTGGGTTGGCTTAGCAGATCCAGAGGGGGTATCCAAATCTCCTTACCATAACTGTTGTCACTGTAGTCTAGTGGTAGTGGCTGCACTGGTTGCTGATCTTGTGGCAGTAGATCCCCTCTACATTGTTCTTCATTAATTTCAGTCGATTGTGTCTTCTTAACTCTGGGCTGAGAGCTAATCGCTTTGTATCTTGTTGGTTTGGTAAAGGATATTAATTGATATCTGAAGGCTCCATTAAAGGCAGTAGGTCGAAGAGTATCTGTTTGAGAGCATTTTAGAGAGATGAGCATTTTAGAGAGATGATGGTGTCCACTTTTCTTGTCGATGTACTATGTTGGTGGCGGTGTCCATTGGCTCGGAAGCTCAGACCGGAAGTCTTGACGATGCTATGATGGCCTTGGGTGAAGTTGTTCAAGGGATGTATCCTTATTAATATACTTTATTTTGTTTATTCTGTATTATCAGTTTATATGCCTAGGTTGTTCAGGGCTGCTCATATTGTGGCTTAAAAGGCTCTTGAATCGATAGTTTGCTTAGTTGTGACTATCGTATTATTGTATATATTATATGTACTTTTGCCTACTTATATCTATGACAAAAAAATACTTGGGTTTGATTACTGACTAGTACCAATACCCACGGCTACGCCGTGGGAGATTGAGTCGTGTTTAATATTATTTAAAAGCGGTATAATAATAATAAAATTGTTAGAAATTATAAAGGAAAAGCAAATACATATGTTTTGTTAAAAAATTTAAACATGCTTGCTATGCAAGAACTTACCAAATTCCTTCCTATAATCAGCAAGTTCCACTATTTTATATAATTCAACAAACACTCCTTGCAATAACTAACAAATGAAAAAACCAGGTAAAAGTACAAAATTCCAGCTATTGCCTACCAAACATTAACCAACCAAAAATGACAGATCAATGTACTAAAGCCAGGGACGCTAGGTTGTGACAGAATCTCCTCTTTGACTGATGTCACATTCCCTCTCCCTCCTGTCAATAGCAACTGCAAGTCATCCCTTATTGATGCTGTACAACGGCATAATAAGGTAGAATCTCATAAATGTGAGTAGGTTTGCCGATGGTGATCTAGCATCATTTCTTCTGCCATCTACAGAATTAAACATTACTTCAGGGCAAGCAAACCCAAATTAGCAACCTACTTAACCACATAATTGTGGGGGGGGGGGGGGGGGGTTGGGGGTTTGAAGTTATATATCCAAAAAAGTTCACATTGAACACTTAATGAAACATCAATTATGAAATCAAGCTGCTGATCTCATGCTCACAATCAGTATAACCTATTGCTCCTTTGAATGTCTGCAGTTCTTATTGCAACGTTGAGAGCTTATCTTGACCTGCTTGGTCTTTCGCATTCAACAATCCAAGAAGCAGCAAGCTGATAGCATGAAAAAAAACACATTAGTCAATAGTAGTTCTATGAACTAAATAATAATCTAAACAAAAAAGGAGTTGGTTGGAAGGGATACAGGTTGATGAAGGAAAGACAGCAACATGATGATTTAAATATCATTCTCTTAATCATTCAGGGAATTATGAATCCTTTCATCAGGAATGCTTTCCATCTTTCGAAGCATGGATTCAAATGCTTCTTCCATATGGAGCAATGGAATTTACAATAGAACTTAGAAGTGCCATTGTTATCAATTAAAGGATGCCAAAGATAAAAGAACTACATTATTTGTGAATTACAGAGGTTGCAGTTGACTCCCTAGTAAACAAAGCAGAAACCCTACAGAAGCAAACAACGCCAGTAAGTAAACATATTTTTGGCGGCAGATAAGAACATAACGAAGTACAGAACCAGGTTCCCTTTCTCGAAATGGTGCATCAGTTTGGCAGGCCTCTATAGCAGAATGCAAGCAAGACCAGCTCTATATATGTACGGCAAACAAGTTAAAGCAAGTAAACTCCTTAGATTTGTGCACATAATCAGCAAGACGGAAAGGAACAAAAAGTAATAATCTCCAAGGGCCAAACTACAAATGGTTGCCGGAAGGCTATATTCCATTCACTTCTCTCTATTACCCAGCATTATCCCTTGGCTGCTGATGTGGTCTCTTCGCCATCACATGTCCTCAACTTCCTGCTATATATGTTCAGAAACTGAATTCAAAATTAAAAATTGATATACTTCACATGCAAAATGGATTTGCCAAAGGAAGAAGCAGAGTGGATAAACTGGTAAAATAGGAGAAAACGACCCCAAAAGCTAACATTAAGGAAATGAAGGAAAACCTCAAAGCAAGTGCGACCAAACCAAAAGAACAACTATCAAATATGAGTACCGACTCGTGTCAACATGTGTTCCTCTTTATCTCTCGCTTAAGTTGATTAGAAGCTGTGATTAGAAGAAATGAATGAAATGAAGACCACATTTCTGTGATTAATTAGAGAAGTTGCTTGGAACACAGCTGCTTTGTAAATGAAACTGGTAAAATTGGAGAAAATACCCCAAAAGCTAACACTAAGGAAAGGAAGGGAAAATCTAAAAGCAAGTGCGACCAAACAAAAAGGGAAATACATATACATGCTAGTGTCCATAATGTATCCCTCTTTATCTCTCGCTTGAGTTGCTTTAGAGCTGCGATTAGAAGAGATGAACGAAGCCACTTTTCTGTTATTAGAGAAACTGCTTCAAACACAGCTATTGCATTACATATCAAAAGCTTAGAAAGAATGATTGCACCATTAGTTGATTCTGACACACATGAACATAGAAAGTTGACATTTTGAGGAATTTCAGCTCCAATTCAAGCACTATGAAAAGCTCCCAATTCTCCCCATCATACCAAAAAAACTAAATGGAACCACGAAATCAAACATGACTAATAGTAAGATTTGTCATTCATTCTTTTGAGTCAGAAAGGAAAGAGCAATTTTGGAGAGACGGAAACTCATATGGCAGAGGAAACCCACCTTGTAACTAAATGAGATGGTTCGACAGCCTGGAAAGCATAAACGCACCATCCTGCATCAAATTCCAAACAACTGCTTTGTTTAGAGAAGAAAGCAAGAAAAGAATATTAAGCAATGGTACGTGAAAGAGTCAATTTGGAAAAAGCCTATGAATCCGTTACTGCTGTTCTGTAATGGATGGATGCAAAGTTCTGGGTTCTTATTTTCCATCTCCTTCTCCGAGACACAGAGAAAGAGAGAAATATGGGAGGTTTGTTGTTCTCCTCCTTATTCTGTCTTCGTCATCCTCCTTGCTATGGCGGAGTACTCGTCGTTATACTGACCGTGCTCCTATTCCAAATTACTGCCGCTCTAGAGATGGAATGAGGGATTAAGTGTTGGAAAAGAAGAATGGCAGGGGGAGGGGGTGGCGTGTGTGAGCAGTTGTGAAGAGAGCGAGAAGTTTGGAAAAGCAGACCAGCATGGTAAAAAGATGGGCATGACTGAAACACCGCTTGTGATTGCTGATTTTGGAGTAAAACTAGCATGCGATTGCTGATTTTAAGGTAAGGATGCAAAGGGAGGGCATGGTCGCCTGCGGCGAAGACATAAGGGAAAGCATGGCCGGCTGCTGGAGGAGGGAAAGTATTGATGGGTCTGGCTAAGCAACAGAGGAAGCTTACACAAAGCTCTTTCATCCATCGCCACAAAATGACACAAAGTGAAACAGTAGGAGAGAAAAAGCGTACCTAGCTTTTATGTTCTATAGAATAGAATAGAATAATGGATTCAAATTCCGCACAGAGCGTTACAAGTTGCTTGTGATCGCACCCAACTCGAATGGAATCCAATACAAAGTGAAGAAACAGAAAGGCACAGGTACAAAGATTTTATATGCATCCTCTTTGTACTTGGAAGCTGCATGGTTGTTACTTTTGAATGATGATATACATTTTGCAGGCATGGGGATCCAAGTACGCCGAGATTTGTTCCTTCACCTTTGCTTCGGTGGTGTGCTGCAGTACAAGAAATTCAGAACAAGTCATCAGCGAATCAAATCAATTCAATTCAATTCAATTCCACAGTCAAATTAGTTCATGAAGAATAGAAGAAACAGTTTTATCTCTTCTCTCACCGCCCATAAATCTCTGACATCCACAAGGGCGAAGGGAGGGACGCCAATATCAGAGAAGTTAGCAACGATTTTATCTGGGGAAGAACCCTTGTTCCAAAGCACTACTGCCACTCTCTTTTGGCTGAGAGGACCAGCCCACACCTCCAAGTCTCCATCTTTCTTAACCTTCTTCCCCTGCACTCCAAGTTTGTCTGAAAAGAACCATCCCATTTTCAGCACAACTTGTGGGGTTACAGCGATGGTGTTTGTAAATCATCATCATATACGTTGATATTACCTTGGTTAACTGCAATCACTTCACTGTTGCTCAGAATTTGGTGGGTGTCGAGGTCCATCGATCGAATGTCGCACCCGCGTATGAGAGGAGCCTTGGCTAATGCCCAGATGCTGAAATGTGACCTGTACTCCTCCATCGTCATGCTGCCATTCCCAACTTCAAGCATGTCAGGATCTACCCACGGAGTAAAAGACATTGGAAACGTTCAAACGAACGAATAAGTCTATGCCTTTGACAATGAAAAGTGAAATAGTTACGAGCGTTATGCTGAGTGTACCGTTCCATCCTCCAGGTCCAGCATAAGATGCCCATTTATCGTTTTTATCTGCACGTTTTGTCATTCTGGGGAGTACAAAGCAAAATAAGGATCATTGTCGGCCTAACAATTTTCGCTTTAAGGTACGACTATGGCACGACTTGGTGGGAAGGATTACCTCTCCCAGTTATCAGCAATATCCCCAGTTGTTCTCCATCTATTACCAATACCGGGACCCCAAGTTGCAGGGTCTTCAACTCCCCTGCTAACAACTAACACATTGACAGTAGTCAAAACATTGAATCTGGAAGAAGAAGAAGAAGAAGAAGAAGAAGAAGAAGAAGAAGAAGAAGAAGAAGAAGAAGAAGAAGAAGAAGAAGAAGAAGAAGAGGGGGAAAATGATGCCATACCATTCACAGAGGAAAAAGAAGATGGGTCTTCCTGTCTTCAACAATGCTTTACTCATTATCGGATATCTCACTTGAGGGCTTGTGCCATCAGTATGGCAATTATCATATTTCAGAAAATCGATTTTCTACAGAAGAAGAAAATGATCAAACACAGTTCAAGATCATCCTAATTTCATTTGTAGAGAAGTGAATTAGAGATCATGTTGCATATAGTATGATGATGGATACCCATGAGGAAAATGTTTTGGCATCTTGTTCCTCATAGCCCAATGATCCTGGCTATAGCTTGCTGCATGTCAGGTTCCTGCAACAACTCAGAAGATTACTCATGCATTATTATTCGATGCATCAAGTCGAAATAGAATTTGAACGGAGAAAAGGGTGATTTCGTTTACCCTGCATCTGAGTAGATTCCCAGCTTGAGGCCTTTGGCATGAACATAATCAGCCAATCCTTTGATTCCAGCAGGAAATGTTGTTGCATTAGCAACCAAGTTTCCCGCAGAGTCCCTCTGACATTCAGCCCATGCATCATCTTCCAATGCATTCCATCAAAGAAGAGAGACATGGAAAGAGAAATTTAGGAGATGAAAAGAAAAATAAAGGCGCAGGGCAATGCCGCCTTCAATGGCGTAGTTGTACAACAAAGTCATGTTTGAGGAAGATAGATATATGCAGCACCTAAGTTGATGTATTGATATCCCAATGCAGCAAGTCCAGATGAAACCATGGCGTCCGCTTCAAACACAAATTACAAAGTGATATACTAGTGTTAGTCCACTTGACTGTAGACATGCATCAAGAAATTGTATATTAGCTCTATGAATGAAGAAAACTCAATTATTTTGTTTTAGCTATGGTTTCACAATTCTATAACCTCAATATACTCCATTTTTACGAGAAAATATGATTTTAATTAAATTAAATCCTGTGTAGAATTTTCATATTTATTTAGGAATAAGAGCATTTATATCGTATCAGGTTGGCCAAACTAAGATCTAAAACTTGAACCTGTGTATACATATGAAACAAAGTTCCTTGGCGATAAAATTAAAAAAGAACTGGCAAATGCTTAGTTTATATATATATATATATATATATATGGTGCCTTCTACGGTACCCCGGGTGAAATCCAGGGTACCGCATACCTTAAGTATGAAAACATTATGTAGGCCTCGAATTAGCAGGATTTTTGGGCATGATACTATACCCTAGCCCTTAATGAGTGAACCCTAGGTCCTAATTATCTAAATCATAAACTATAAACGCTAAGATGGTGAATTGATTTTTTTGCCTATATTTGGACGAATCATAACCGTCGATTATTTTTTCTAATTAAATTGATCTTGGGGTATAAGATTTAGAGAATTAAGACCTAGATGTTGATCTTTAAGGGTTAGAGTATAGTATCATGTCCGAAAGATTAGTCAATTCAAGTTCTGGATAGCGTTTTCTTACTCAAGGTATGCGGTACCCCGGATTTCACCCTGGGTATCGTAGAACTCCCCATATATATATATATATATATATATATATATATATATATATATATATATATATATATATATATGTATATATATATATATATATATGGTGAATACTGGTGTACGTCAGGCGTATAGTATACATCAGGTGATCTAGCCGTTAGATGTAGTTAGATGAGCTCCGGCCGATCTCAACGGTCAATTTTTGTTTTTCATTTAATCAAATTTTGGGTTAGGGTTTAGAAAATGGGTGCCTGGGGTTTATCCATTAGAGGTTAGGGTATAGTATCATACCCCAAACTCGATTTAATTCATGGTCTAGATAGAGATATCTCACTAGTAGTACCTGACGTATAGTATACGCCTGACGTACGCCAAGATCAATTTGACGTATGGCGAGTTCTACGGTACTCTGGGTAAAATCCGGGGTACCACATACCTTGAGTATGAAAACACTATCTAGACCTTGAATTGACCGATCTTTCGGACATGATACTATACTCTAACCCTTAAAGATCAAAATCTAGGTCTAAATTCTCCCAATCTTATACTCCAAGATCAATTTGATTAGAAACAATAATCAACGATTATGATTCGTCCAAATATAGGCACAAAGAGGAATGCACCATCTTAGTGTTTATAGATTATGATTTAGATAATTAGGACCTAGGGTTCACTCATTAAGGGTTAGGGTATAGTATCATGTCCGAAATGATTAGAGGGAAAAAAGAAACCTGTTTCTTTTATGATCTTCTCTGAAATTGTCCAGTGGAAATGGTTATAAGTATTCCACCTGTTTAGATACCAGCATATAAACTAGGGGTGGGCGTTCGGTCGGTTCGGTTTGAACCGAACCGAACCAGGTTATGCCGAGATTCCGAAGTCCCCAGAGCCCCGACCGAATTCGAACCGATTTGTAATTCGGTTTGGTTCGACCGAACCGAATTACAACTCGGTCCGGTTCGGTTCGGAGGCTCAGACCGAAGTAACACATCTCCCCTGCTGCCCCCTTTTTGTCTGCTGCTTTTTCTTTTTTTTTTTTTTTTGGTGAAAATTTGACATGGTGATGCTGGGCAGTAGTAGGCCCCCCAAACCCATAGACAAAATGGTTTCCTCTCTGACTCTTTCTCTCCCCCACGTTTCTTTCTCTCTATCTCTCTCTCTCTCTCATGTTTCCCCTTCTCCACTTTGGCCAATTTCCATTACCAACAAACAGAGAGAAGAAAAATCGTAGAATAGAAAGGGGAGGAAGGAAGATGAAACAAACCACTGCCGCTAATCTTCCTGTCTCCTGATGTTGCATCCAACGACACCGGCTATGAAGGTAAGTTTCTATTTCGGTTTAATGTCAGTTTGGAGATCTGATTTCACTCGAGGAGAGAGGATTGTGAGAACTGATTCTGACCCTCGCTTCTTTTTTCAATTTTTGTTGAGGTTGAAGCCTTGAAGGGAAGAGAGGTTCGCCATGCTTAGAAAAGGTGGAGGGTGATGGAACCTGGTGCGGAGAGAAAAGATGGGACTCATGGTGGAGAGAAAAACGGTGCGACCTGGTTTCTTTTTCTCGTTGGTTGCTCTATGGTGGACGAAGACTAGAGATGAAAGCGGTGCCGTTGGCGGAGACTGCCGAAGAGAGAAGAGAATCGGCTGCATTGTTAGGGTTTAGAAAGGTTGGGCTGGGCAATCATTTGGTTTTGGGCTGTTAGTTGGGCTATGTAAGTACTGGGCTTGCTTAGTTTGTAGTCTCCTTTACTTATTTCGGTTTTTCGGTCGGTTAATCGGATTTCGGTTTCGGTTGAGCATATCCTGATTTCCGAAATGTGGGGATTTGCTTTCCGAATTCCGAACCGAAACAATGCTATTCGGTTTCGGTTCGGTTTTGTTCGGTTTCGGTTCGGTTTGGTTCGGGTTTACCGAACCGGATGCCCACCCCTAATATAAACAAAGGTGATGAACATATATTATTTTGCCGTGTAAAATCATATCATATAATTTTATAATATGTAAACAAATTAAAGGACCATAAGTAGGTGATAATTGACAAAACACACCAAAGAGTTATCAATATGAATTCTTGTTGGATTCATCACAAAAAATGAACATATATAATTTATGTTAGCTTTTCTATCAAGAGTATCCATCCTAAGATCCTCAAACCATAGGAGGCAAAAAATTTTTAACTTAAACTAGTTCCAAACTTAACGTTCTCAAATAATTCAGTCGTAGTCCTAACAACGTTTTCATACGTTATTAATCGTTTGCTCATGGATCAAATAAACTATTCGAGCAAGAAGGACTGAAAAACATAAGAAGGATCCTCATATATGCATACCCCATTGGCGGTGTTAGACCCAATCCATTAGCCAAAAGATTCCTCCGATCCAAGCCAATGTGGGCGGCGGCACCTCGACCTGCCGCTTCAACACCGCCGGTGCTTAAGACCACCACGGTGGCGCAGATTTGAACCAGCATCGCTAAAGCCACCATCAAAGCGTGAGGAGGAGCCATATCGGTTGTTATTTTAATTTGAATATATATATAGGATGTTTAATATTTATAACTGAGAGAGAGAGGTGGAAGAGTGGAAAATGGGGAACTGGGTATTTATAGAGTAAGCATGCAGAACCTCGATCCATCTCTATTCTCGATCTGACCACAGTAGGTGATGACTCGATATTTGCACATGTTTTCCCCTTTGATCTTGATCGTTTAAGCTTGCATTATTTCTTCTTTGGCCTATTTTACGCTAGGTTGTGTTCCTTTGTTACATTTCAGGTCCTAGCACATAAAGTGAAGCATAGGCGCAAGTTTCAAGTCAATCAGAGATCAATTGGCGATTCAGGAGAAGAAACTCGGGCATGACCTGAAGAAGAATGAATTTCTACCTCACTTTATGGACAAAGAATCATGCAAGCTTGTCATGAAAAGAAAGAGGACGAGACTACGAGCGTCTAGGATCAAACGACGATTGATTCGGAGTCCGGACGAGGGAGAAACGAAGCATTGAAAATAGGGGAACAGGTTCGGCAGTAAAAACACGGGCGCGCCTAAATCAAAACACGGCCGTGCCCATATTTAGGCACGACCGTGTTTTGGCCGACGCGCGGGCGTGTTTTTAACACGACGCAAAACACGGGCGGGCAAAAGCAAAACACGGCCGTGTCCGCGACAGTGTTTTGCCCAGAATCGGGTTTTTTAGGCAGATTGAAGCCAAAGGAAGGGGAGAGCTGGGTTTTTGGTTCCCAAACACCCAAGGGACGAACCCTAGAGAGAGAGAGCGACTTGGGAACATTCTTGGAGCTATTTTGGAGGATTTCTTCGCCATTGGAGCTCGGGAATCAAGCTTAGAGATGGAGATTGAAGATCTAGATCAGATTTCTGCAGTCTCTCTCTTCTCTATGGAGTAACTTCCCTTCACTTAGGTTTTGAGGAACCCTAGTTCCATGTGTTAGGATCTTTCTTGTAAGAAGTTTTGGATGCTATATTGTTTGATTATAATCGATTGAGGCATGATTTATTGAGTCAATTGAATCTTGATCAAATCCTCTTGATTTCTGCTTTAACCTATGATAGATA